GAGGGAAGCGGATGTGGGGCGGCAAGCTCTCGGTAGGAATGTGGACGGTTTTTTCCTAACCGGTCTGCCGATCGACTCGAGACATTTTTGACGACGCGGATGTGACGGTGTTGGCCCAAGCCCAGGCTGTGAAATGTCGTGGAGACGTCATCGTTGCTGATGAGTCGTTATTTCTTGAATTATATTTAGTTTATTGCACTTAAATAAACCAGGGAATTGTGTTTAATTGTTTGTTATTTCCCCGTTTTCCGAATTCTGCTTAATTTGGTCGGAAAATTGTAATTGTGCTAATTTGGGTTTTCTGAGTTGATTAAGTGAATTTTTTTAAGTGCAGGAAAATTTCGGAAATACATTTTGGGACATCAGGAAGAATGCCAAATAAATTCAAGACTCTCCACACAGACATTTTTGAATTAATTAAATTATAATTCAGTAGTTTAGAATTTTTGAATCAACTCTTATATTTTGGGTCAATTTTTGGTAAATTAGATTAGACCCAAAATTAGAAGTTAATGACTTGGCACCTTAGGGTTTTATTGTGTGGACCCTACCCTAAAAAAAAGGGAACTTACGGCCTTAGAAGAGGGACAGCCGCAACTTGCAGGGCACACTTTTTACACTCTCGGTTTTGGTTGTAAGTTTTTTTTGGTTTTGAACGTTTTCAGCATGAATGAAAGGACACTTTGAATTTTCCATTTCATTTTTCTGGATTCATGAGCTTTAATTTTGCTTCCAACTTCCCACGGTGATTTTTAATTATTGAGAACGGTGGCTGCAAGGTTGTCTCACGGTGAGCTGGAAGCATAGAAGGAGCTCACGTCCACAATGTAGGATCCAGGTTGGTGTGCACACCTTGAGAGCTACTACTGTCACGTAAAAGTAAAAGTATTGGGGCCCTTGGGCAATTAACAATTCTGGTCCAGCAAGGCACTAGGGGAGAGGCCGATTGCCATCCAGAGAAAGGGATTTTTCATTTTAAAAATGGAGGAAAAGGGCTGGAAGAAGGTGGCGTACAGGAGCTGGGAGATAATGGTGTGCACGGAGTTTGGATGGATGGCACCGCACGCAAAGTGGCAGCAACACCGTCCAGTGCAGTGCACGTTTTTTTCTTTCTTCTAAAAGGAGAAACTAATTCATTTTGCTTTAGGAAGGTGGAGCTGGAAGTAGGTCACGTCTAGCATTGGAAGTAGCACTGATTTCATTTTAAAGGTCTATGTTAATTTCAATTGGAGAAAAGTAGATGCCACGGCTGGCTGGAAGAAAAGCGGTGCTAGAGGTGTGTGGTCCAGCAGCCACCTAGGAAGAAGTTCATCTCATTTGGCTTGTATTTTTTGGAGAATGAAGAAGAGAGGAGGCGTTGATTCCAGGAGCTGAGAAGTGCACTCGGTGAATCATTTCTTTCGCATTACACTTGCTGATTGGTCCGTTGGATTCAATTGCTTCATGCACTTGGGGATTTAATCTTATTTCCAGCTGCACGGTGCTTCACAGCCACTACAATGTACATTTAATTTGTTTCACTTTTTAGCTCAATCATTGCATTTAAATATTAGATGCGTTTTTGTGATTCTTATCACTTCATTTTATTTTCATTGTTCACACGTTTTAATTTACTTTTTTTTTTAGAAGAAATAGAGTTGATAGATGACTGCAATGTGCTTTTTAAGTTTTATTAACTAAGCTTTGCTTTTCATTTCCAACTACCCTGCATTTCAAGTTTTATTCAATTACGATCTGCAAATCATGTCATGTGTTGTTCCATGTCTACAACTGTTTGATTTTTTTCTCATCTCGTTTGGTTCGATTTTCGTGTTTTCTGTCTTGTGCTTATACTTCACTTGTTCCTTAAGATTTGTTCTTCATTTTAATCGGTGCATTTCTTTATTTGAGTTCAAATTCAGCGTAATTCATCATTTCCAGTTGTGTCGGTCATGTGTAATTTTTACTATAGTTTTAATTATGTCTGCATGTATTTGATCTTGTTTAGCTTTCATTTTTCATTTTAATTGAGTCGAGTGCATTTGCTAGCCATACAATGATCATCTACAGCAATGATATCAATTGTAGGTTTTATCATATGAGCTAAATGCAATGCCAAACCGTGTTTCGATTTGCAAAATCTGCATCAATTTTTTTTTCTGGTTTGATAATGTGTAAACTGATTTAGTCCATATTTCTTGTGTCTAAAGCTTTGCACAAGTTTGTTTAATGGTTCTAAACATGTCTCAAATGATAGCACCTCATGTTAATCACAGAATTGCAAAATGAGTGTTTGAGTTGACCAAAATCTGGTTTCCAATTCTGTCACTCTTTTATCCAAGCTTTTGGATCGTGCTTGTTGTCATTGCTTGTTCATAGGCTTTAAAAAAAATTTGCTAGCTCATATTCTCTAGCTAGATCTAGTCATTTAGGACTTCCTTATGCTTTGATTGAACCAACCAGCTTTGAAGCCACTGCTTTCTCAATTCTGCAACAGTTTTAGCGCATTTTTCTACACTTTTAGCAACTACTACTATGTTTTGATGAATCTGATTGTTTTGGTGCATTCTTACCATTTGAGAAAGTTTGTTTTGCCATTTTAAACTTGTGTGCATTGTTCATTTGGTCAGTTTTCAGTTTATGTGCAAAATCACTATCCAAACCATCAAATTTGTTTGAAATTTGAATTGGACCACTGATTTTCTGGTGTAGTCTTTTTATTTGTTGTTTGAGTGTTTGCACACATCCAAATTGATGATATAAACTTTCTTGCACCATCAATTAACCTCTTTAAACACTGCCATACAATTTTTCAGTTTGAAAGCACCACTTTAAGTGCCATTTTCTGGTGTAGTTTGCATATTTTGTGTTGTTTGACATTTTCATTTCTTTAAATATCCTTTATGGATTGGCAAAAGCTGGTTTCAAGTTTCCAAATGCAATGATATGATTAAAAGAGTGTAATACATTCATAAAAAGCAAAAGAAAACCAAGCAATCCAGTTTTGAGCCCCAAAACCGAAAATACCAAAAATCTGCATCTCTTTGAGGCATTTCGTCAAACAATTTTGAATTTTCATCTAACAATTTCATTGCACACGGTTCACTCACTATTTTTGTGTTTTTATTGCTTGTGTGATCAGTTCTAGACCCTATCTTAGGTTCCTTTTGCGTGCCACCTTTTATTCCAGCACAAAAATCATTAAAATTCAACTTTATTTGGCTTCCCATTCTGCTGTCAAGTTGGTTTTCAATCAACAATCTGGTGTAATGAAAATTTTTGTGCTAATTATTTGTTGCTGGTATATGGTTGTGTGAAGTATTGGTGTAGCTTCTCTACCTCAACTTCCTTGCTCCAAGGGGGTAGCATCTTAGGAAGTGGATGAGGTGTTAACAGGGATACAAGCGTGGAACTCCAAGGGCCACTTTGCCTTGCGCAATCAGCAGCAAAATTCAGCAGCCACACCACACTTGGCTTTGCTACTTTTGTAAACATTTTTACTTGTAATATTGGCTTTATATCACGAAACATTTGCGTTTCATTTTTCTTATCCTTTTAAAACATAAGTTGCTTGGGAAAATGCTTTTCTAGCAATTCCAAGTCCACAATTAAACATTGTAATAGTCTAGTCTCCACATCTCAAAGTG